CAGTGGTCTTGTTCAAGGTCATTTGGAGAAAGGCCAAAGGAAGCGGGAGAGAATGCAGCCATGCAGAGAAGAGACAAAGGGAGGGAGATTGAGACAAATCCTGGTGTGATAGAATCTGCTGCCTATAGAGGGTTTGGCAGTGCTCCATTTGACTATTGGACCTACTCCAGGATTTTCCCTGGTTACATGAATCATATAATTCCCTTTCGCACTTAGCTAGCTTGAGTTGGATTTCTGTCAATTACAACTGAAAAATTTTGACCAGTATAACAGGTGAGGGAGCTGGAAGTACATCTTGAGGGATAAATGTGCCATTTACTAAAATGATGAAGGCAAGATGACAAGCTGGCTCAGGAGGAAGGAATCAAAGTTCTATTTAGGAAATGAGAATTTGAAGTACCTATGAGACATCAAAGTGGAAATTTTAAGTAGTTGGTGGATATATGAATTTAGAGCTCAGGGAGAATAAAGCATGGGTATAAGTTTGAGCATCACTGGCATAAAGATGATATCCAAAGCCATAAGATGATATGAGGTGAGGTCATGAAAGAAAGACTATCCAGTGGAAAGAAAAGAAGACCCAGGGCTAGGCCCTGAAGAACTCCAAGACCTGTGTACCTGATACCATAAATTAGACAGATGCCAAACTTTAACAAAGGAGAAGGTCTGCACCCACCCACCACTCCCCACCTCCATACAGTTATAGTTTGCTTGCTGGATGATAGATAATAACAAACTTTATAAGTTTAACTTTCACTGTCATCTGTCAGGGAAACAAAAAAGGCTAGGAAAGGGGTGTGTGAGTGTGTTACTTTAAGAAATAAGACTGATTTTCAAGTGTGGCTCATAAACTGGCTCTGTACGCAATTTTGACAAAAATATCTGAGTGGTAGGATAAACATTCATACTTTAGAACTTGTCAGGCATTTGGGTTATAATAAGCCTTTTGTCTGAATGAGTCATTCCTCTATTATTTCTTGATTATAAACTTCACAGTGGAGAAGTGTACTAATTCTGTTATGGTCACAAAGGAATAGTTTTTTATATTGCCTCCAGTGTACATGGAATATGGCCAGCACTTCCTCTGTTTAGAGAGCAGTTTGATTGAAAAAGCTGAAAGTTTAATGTTTTTTGAAGGTTCTTGTTTCTGTTAGTCACGTTGTTCACTAAACCAAACGAGTACCTATCATTGTGACATACATTCTGAAATGACTGTATATACATGTATGCATATGTCTTATATACATGCTACCTAAAAGAAGTGTTTTCTATTCAGATGTATATAAATGTGTTTGGTTATGACCCTCTATGATCTATTGGGTTAACAGTCAAACCATATATCCTCATTAGGATGTATATAATGACGATTAGAAGTTGTGTTTTCAGCAAATAAAATTACCAGATTTTTATCATTCATTAAGCACTTTGTGCATACTTGAGACATGCAATTTTAAATTTTCTCAGTTAAAAATATAAAATTATTGATCATTGATCATTTTGTTAAGGTCCAATACAGTTGTAAATGACTAAGAATCTGCACAATTTTATAGATTAGCTTCTGAGTACTATACTCTCCTAATGGAATGTGGAAAATGTCTCCTTTTCAATTCCTCTAAAGTCTCTTTATATATCTTAAGTTAACTCAGAAATATGTGAAGAACCAGATGTTGTTTTCTTTCAACAATGATAGAAATTATTCAGGGAGGATCAACAACTTAAAAAATTTATGAGATTACGTGGGATATGATTAATGAAATTTTATATTTCTCCATCTTTGTTTCTGATACTTTGAATTAACAGCCAAATTGAAAATGTTGGACCAAACATATTCCTTATATATTCCTTCATATACCCCCTTATATGTTCCTTGGATGGCCTTGTATAAATGAATGAACAAATATATATCGTACACGATTCTTACCAGTAATATACAGATTGTATGAAAAGTCTACAAATATAGGCAAATATTTTATTTATTGTGCTTGTCCAGATTAACGATTAGCTTAAATTTAGAAATGCTTCAGCTGCAAATGAATGTGGTGATTAAAGGAAAATATATCCACAATATTTTTTGAAAATCTAACTTACATCTTGATTTTATTTTTACTTTACACTGTGGAACTCAGCTGCTCAGAATCAGAGTGATTATAAATTTTGGTTCATGTCATTCTCTCATCATTTGTTCAGATATAGCCACTTTTATTCATTTTTAAATTATTTAATTATTTATTTTTCATAGAGGAATAATCACCCATAAAGCCACTATCCAAAGCAGAAGCTAGAAGTACATCAAAGTCTTGGCTCCCCACAAGTCTACCCTCCTCCTCCCTCCCACCCAAAGGATCCATCACCCAGAATCTTATGGTCATTGTTCCTTTGATCTCATTTTAGGGGTATGTAGATCAATACAAAGTAATTAATCACAAAATGATATATGTCTTACTTTGAGCTAACTTTTTTTTTTAACTCTTCTCTCACATCCTTGTCGGTAGGGTCAGAACTGTGATATGTAGTCAATATGGCCACTATATTCTCTTCTAATATCCCACCTCCCTAGGCAGAATGCCAGGGAGTGAGATCATGCATTTACTATAAGCTCTCTGGTCATTCATTCTTTCTTACTCTGGAAACCTCATCTCATCCCAAGTGATTTTAAAAATACCTAATAGATTTCCAGTGACTACTTAGGTTTATAAAAAAGTTTACATTATTAAAATATACATGGATACATTTATGAAAACACGTATTTAGATTGCAACTTTATCAGCTTGCAAAGGCATACAGAACTGGCCCAAGTGATTAAGTACTTTTAAAATCCGTTCAATTAGATTTCTGGATTTTCATGTTCCTTCATCATAAGACATCAAGTTAATTTAAATGCAAAATCATGTTTAAGGTTATTCTTGGTCATCTGAAATGAAGGACAAATGAACATCTTTTCAACTGGGAAACAGCAAGGATAGGAGAGAAATCCTGGTACAAAACTCCACAGTCAGCAAAAGGAAGGTAAGTGTGATGATGATTCATGGTGTTTACTATCGTTTGTTAAGATGCATGGAATTTCCAAGAGAAGAAGGCTGAGTAAAAATGAGGTGGGAGCATACAGAGGTGATTCTGAACCCTTCCTTCCTTTCCCTCCTATTAATCTGAATAGTCACATCCAGTACAATAAAGTGAGTTTAAAAGTGTGGTATGCATTATTCATGGGATGGCAACTTCCATTCTGAATACAGATATTTAAAAGTATCATGCATCTTTAAGAGGACTTAGTTGAAACTGTGTATTTCTGATTACAACATTTGGTCCCTGTGAGCCAAGATAGACAGATAATACGTTTCTCAAAATGATGTCACATTGCCTAAGTTGCTAACCAGAAAATCCTTTCATAGACAGTGCAGTGTTTAACCTTTCCTTTCTTTTTTTTTTTTTTAAAGATTTTTATTGGGGAATTGGGGGATGGGAACAGCGCTGGGGAATTGGGCAAAGGGGAACAGACAAGTTGCTGTCCTTTTGTTCTTCAGTCTAGTTGTGGAGGACGTTGCTTCACTGGCCCAAGTTGGCACCATCATTGCGCTCTTCCCGGGTGAGGCAGATCAGTCGCTGGCCTCTGGATGGCCAGGCCGCTCACGCTGGCTGTTGGCTATACACGGTAGCCCATGGCAACCCACTGCAGCAGGGGCTGCAGCCTACCCAGCACCAGTGACTCATGGCAGCCCAGCTCCAGGTTGAGCTGTTGTTCAGCATCTTAGCTGTAGAGGGCAGTGTCACTGGCTCTCATATGTGGGATCCAAACTGGGGCCCTCTGGCATCCCAAGCCAGCTCTTAACCAACGCCCCCACTCGGCGGGCCCTAACCTTTCCTTTCTTGACTTATCTTTAATTTCTCCCCACTCCCAACCTAGATGAAGTGTTTATATGAACACAAAACACCCATTAGAACTCTGAAGAAATTGACTCACCCATCTTTTCAGTTGCAGGGTATTTTTTTACAGTATACAATATGCATTATAATGTAATAAATATTTCAACTTCTTAAGGATATTGAACTCTACTGTTCCTTAAAGGGGGCGTTTACAACTTACTGCTACCAATATTGACACTTAACCATAGGAGAAAATGATATTAAAATAGTTCGAGAATAGAATTACACATTGATAAGGCCACAGACTCATTTATATATCTTCTATATGCTTGAAGAAGTTATGAACCAATACAGTCATATGGAACCTAACAACAATTAAGATCTATGGCCATTATTTTTCATTTGCCTAGAAATACATTTCCTTTACTGAATGAAGTAACATAGGCCATTTCAAAAAGAAACAAATGGAAGCGAAAAATAAACGTTGAAGGCAAGTGCTGACTCCAAAAGGCAAGACTTCCCATTTAAGATGCCCAAAAGGAACTCTATGAATTCTTTGACTAGAAATTAGCACGACGGAATCTGCTTTGATAGACTAGAGAAGCAGAGCCAGGGAAGCGACGGGGTTAAATCGTGCTGCCTCTGCTGGCCAGGGAGATGCTATCGTTTCCCACAACATTCCTCCCCCTCCCTCTCCCCTCCCCACAGTTGCAAGCCTGATGAAGCCTGGAGCCGTCTACAAACTGTTGTGAGGCCAACTCCACCGCTCCGGATGGAGCACAATGGATGGGCGTGGGCTGTGAGCAAGTTCCTCTTCTCCAGTCCTTCCTGTCTATGTTCACCAAAGTGTTTTGAGATCTGAGGTCCTAAAACAACCTAAAAGTGGAAAACGATACACTTCATCCCAGTGGCAACTTTCTTTTTCTCCTGCTTTTAGCAGGGTGTTTTGACCTCGGGTCTACCGCGTTTTGCGTGCCCCCGCGCCAGCTGTGTTCCCGACCCCAGAATAAATCAGAGCTGCACGGGGCCTGGCAAAGCTCGGGGAACACTTCCTGTCGCGGCCTAAGGGAAGCTGTTTGCCGCCAGGACCCTGGTGGGGATTCTTGGCGGTTGGGGGCGGGAGTGGGGCGGGGGAAGCTAGGGTAGAACCAGCTGTAGGGGGCGTTGACCTCGTTCTAGGGACAGCTCCGTGCCTTCGGGCGGGACAGATCCTAGCTGGGAGCGGCTGGGAGCGCGGACCCTCCAGGATGAGGCCGGCGCTAGTCCTGTGCCTCCTCTGGCTGACCTTCTGGTCCCGGCAGGGCCGTAGCGAGCACCCCACCGCCGACCGCGCGGGATGCTCGGCCTCGGGGGCCTGCTACAGCCTGCACCACGCGACCTTCAAGCGGCTGGCGGCCGAAGAGGCCTGCAACCTGCGCGGCGGGGCTCTCAGCACGGTGCGCGGGGGCGCGGAGCTCCTTGCAGTGCTTGCTCTCCTGCGGGCAGGCCCGGGACCCGGAGGGGGCTCCAAAGACCTTATATTTTGGGTGGCACTGGAGCGCAGGCGATCTCACTGCACCCTGGAGAACGAGCCATTGAGGGGTTTCTCCTGGTTGTCCCCCGACGTCGGCGGGTCGGAAAACGACACGCTGCAGTGGGTGCAGGAGCCCCAACGCTCTTGCACTGTGCGGAGTTGCGCGGGACTCCAGGCCACCGGGGGAGTCGAGCCCGCAGGTTGGAAAGAGATGCGCTGCCACCAGCGTGCCAACGGCTACCTGTGCAAGTACCAGTTTGAGCGCTTGTGCCCCGCGCCACGCCCCGGGGCCGCCTCTAACTTGAGCTACCGCGCGCCCTTCCAGATGTACAGCGCTGCGCTGGACTTCAGTCCCCCCGGGACCAAGGTGAGTGCGCGCTGCCCCGGGCATCAACTCATCGCAGCCACCTGCATCGTGGACGAGGTCGGCGCGCGCTGGGACGGGATACCCTCCGGGGCCGTGCTCTGTCCCTGCCCGGGGAGGTACTTGCGTGCCGGCAAATGCGCGGAGCTCCCTAATTGCCTAGACGACTTAGAAGGCTTTGCCTGCGAGTGTGCCGAGGGCTTCGTGCTGGGGAAAGACGGACGCTCTTGTGTAACCAATGGAGAAGGACAGCCGGACCCTGAGGGGACCAAGGTGCCCACCAGGCACCCGCCGGCCACTGCAGCCAGCCCCGTGCCGAAGAGAACGTTGTCACCCAGGGTCCATGAGAAGCCAGGAGAGATACCCCATGTCCCTGGACAAGGCAGTTCAGCAACATCTATTCCCGAGATTCCTTGGTGGGGAGCACAGAGCACGATGTCTTCCTCTCAAATGTCCCCTCAAGCCGACTCAAAGACCACCACCACTTCTTCAGGAAGCGTGCTTCCCGAGTTTAATTCCACATCTTCCTCTACGATTCCCCAGGCTTTTGACTCCTCCTCCACCGTGGTTTTCATACTTGTGAGCATAGCAGTAGTAGTGTTGGTGATCTTGACCATGACCGTGCTGGGACTTTTTAAACTCTGCTTCCACAAAAGCCCTTCCTCCCAGTCAAGAAAGGGGTCTTTGGCCCCTTCGGGCATGGAGAGTGATGCCGAGGCCACTGCTCTGCGCCCAAGTTCTGCACATTGCACAGACAATGGGGTGAAGGGCACAACCTGTGGGACAGAGCAGAGGGCGCCTCACTGACGGGGTCCTTCTTGGCTCCAGGGACACATATGGAAACCAGGGGACAGTGAGCACTTCTTGTAAGCAGTTTTTCACTTTCAGGGAAAAGGGAAAAGAAGAGGAACTTATTTGTGGGACTGATGACTCCTACAGATGTTTCCTTCCTTTAAATTTCCTCTCCTCCACGGAGGAGCTACATCTGAACTGAACTACATCTTCCCTAAGATGGAAGAGGTGGACGTGCCTTAAGGTGTTACTGGGGCCCCAGAATTCTACTGGGGAGAGGTATTTTCTTGTGTTTATCCTAGGGGATCTGGAGAAGTGATGGAACATTTATAAGACACTGGAAACAAACAGAAAACAATACAATTTTTTTTAATTTTATTTTTTATCAAGATGGAAGGAAAAACTCTGCCTACATTGTTCAGGCTGGGAGTATATTGGTTTACAATTTTCAGGCAAAAAGATAAATAAATAAAGGATTGTTGATGACCCAGGCTCAAATATCATGGGTTTCTTGGAGAAGTAATTATTTAGGAAGAGCAACTGAGGGACATGCTGGGAGTAGGAACAAAAGTAGATACTGCTTTTAGATGGAGGGGGAAATCTTTAAGCCCTTGTAATAAAGAGCAGAACTTTAAGAATTAGTAACTTTTTCCTTGGTTCTTTTATACTTTGCTTTCAAAGTCACAGCTATGCAAGTGCCCTGCTATAAATCCAAACTGTAGTGCTGCCAGAGTTGTTGGCTCTGGAAGCAAATTACAGTTGACCACCAATTCAAGTGTTTACTGTGTGTCCTTGCTCAAGGAAACAAATGATTTGTTTTTCTCTTCCAATGTTTGTGCTCTCCTGTGTAATGACTTTCCCAACCAAATAGCTCTCTCTTAAATATCAGGATGCTGATCCTCACTTCCAATTATGGCAATGTTAATTTTCAATTAAACCGTTAATGCTAAGTATTGATTTTAAATCTTCTGGGTGCATTAAAACAAAAGTAGGCTGGATTTCCTCTGAAACTGCTAGATTATTATGCACTGTTTAATCTATGAAAAAACTTGAATTCCAAACCATTTTCTTCCCCTCTTAATAAAAGTGTATGCAGTGACCATACATGCCTGTCTTGGAATGATTACAATTTAACAAGAGTCTACATGGTCTAAGGAATGGCAAACAGCTTTTCGTAAGAGCTAATAGTGTAAGGAATAAGCAAAAATACAAATATCTATCATCTTTTTTATGACTTGGGGTATTAGAAAGTAATCTCAAGGAAACATTCCTCTGAAAAACAATTATGATATAATAATCACTATCTAGTGGAATTTTAGACCCCTAGAAAATATCCCTCTTCTGATAATATACTTTAAATCTAAGTGTGTTGGAGTTGGTGCATGGAGAGAAATAGACAGATAAGCTTAGTAATCATAAAGAATGAAAATAGGAAGTTTACACTATATTTTCATAGAACCATTTTGATGTTCTTAAGTATACATAGATAATATATATGGTATTGTAACATTAAAGGAATAAAGTGACAGGTAATCAGCTTCATATGCTAAAGATATCTAAAGGGTTGCATTTAAATGAAATCACAAATGAATTACAATGAACATTTGAAGGAATTTTAAATAAAATCATTTCAAAACAAATGTGAAAAATAAATGTGTCAGCTCACTCACTCTATTATTTCCCCTTATAAGTAGATCAGGAAAGAATTATGGAACACTATTTTCATTTTTGATTTTCCGGAAGAGCAATTGCAGACCAAGCTTCATATAAATTCCTTTGATTTCTGGCTATGAAATCTTCCATAAAAATCTGAATCCATGGCAGAATCAGGCCAGCCAAGCATGGCGTTAAGAGCTATCTAAGGTTAGGGTCAGAGTTCTTCCTCTGCACTACTTCTGTACTACTTCTCTACTATGACTTCATTATTTCTCCAACTTTCTCTCTTTTTTATTAAATTTATTGGGGTGACATTGGTTAATAAAATTATATAGGTTTCAAGCATACAATTCTATAATATATCATCTATATATTGCATTGTGGGTTCAACATCCAAAGTCAGTTCTCCTTCCATCACCATATGTTTGACCCCCTTTCTTAGTGAAAACCCTCTGCCCCCACACTCATCTCATAGTTGTCTGTTCAGTCATTTCCTTAAAAGGAAGACTTGGAACCTAATTTACAGTCTTTCTCTCCAGCCTAAGTCTTGCCATCATCCTACACAATCTCAAAGTCCTCATGTATGACTCTTCCAATGCCCATACATTTCAGTCCCTTGACTTCCTCACTTCCAATGGCCCCCACTTCATTTCAGCCATCCACTCCAACAGCCACACCTTCGCCTCTCAGATGATTCTGACACTGCTCTACATCTGCAGTAACAAATTTAGACATTTGTGTGTGTGTGCATGTGCACATGTTGAGACCTGTTCTTTAATGAATTTTACCTCTGATTAGAAGTAAACCGTTATTGTTTGAAATTTGAGATTCCTTCTTTAAAAAACAATTTCATATATACAGAAGTTGCAAGTACAGTAAAAATAACATTTTTTCTGAATCATTTAAGAGTAAATTTCTGGCCTAATGCCCCATCACCCCTGAATACTTTAGTGATTACTTTTACATTATTTAATTTGTTGGCATATAATTATTCATAGTTGTCCCATATAATTCTTTTTTAGGTCCATACAGTTGGTAGTGATGTCTTCTCTTTCATTTCTAATTTTAGTAAGTTGAGTATTTCTTCTTTTGGGGATGGGGTCAGAATAACTAAAGGTCTGCAATTTTGTTGATGTATTAAAAAAACTAACTTTTGGATTCATTGATTTTTTTTTCCTATTGTATTTCTATCCTCTATTTCCTTTGTTTCTCATCTAATCTTTATTATTTCCATCCTTATCGTTGTTTTGGGTTTACTGTGTTGTTTTTCTAATTTTTTTAGGGTGGAAAATTAGGTTATTGATTTGAGATTTTGTTTTATTAATATATAGGCATTTGCATTTACAGCTATAAATTTCCCTTCACACACTGCTTTAGTGGCATCCAATAAGTTTGGGCATGTTGTGTTTTCATTTTCATCCAGCTCAAGTTATTTTCTAATTTTTTTGTGATTTTTTTCTTTAATAGGTTGGTTATTTAGGAGGGTGTTGCTTGTTTCCATATTTGCAAACTTCCTTAAATTCCTTCTGTTTTTAATTTTTTATTTGATTTCAGTATGGTTAGAAAATAGACTTTGTGTGGTTTCAACCCTTTTAAACTTACTCAGTTCTTGTTTTATAGTCTATCCTGGAGTCTAGCATATGGTCTATACTGGAAATTGTTCCATTGGCGCTTGTATTCTGGTATTGTTGGGTAAAGTGTACTATAGAAGTCTATTAGGACTAGTTTGTTTATAGTGTTTTTCAAGTTTTTATTTCAGTTTGATCTTTTCCTTAGTTATTTAAGATGTTATTAAAGAGGGCTACAGAAGTCAATGACTTTTATTGTTGACTTGCCTATTTCTACCTTCAGTTCCTCCAGTTTGGATTTTTAAAAAATGTATTTTGGAACTCTGTTGTTAGGTGCATATATGTTTATAATTATTATAGCTCCTGATGCATAGGCTCTTTTGTCATAAAATGCTCCTCTTCATCTCTAGTAACTTTTTGTTTGTTTGTTTGTTTGTTTAAGATTTTATTGGGGAATTGGGGGAGGGAACAGTATTGGGGAATCGGGGAAGGGGAACAGACAAGTTGCTGTCCTTTTGTTCTTTAGTCTAGTTGTGGAGGACGTCACTTCACTGGCCCATGTTGGTATTGTGATCATTGCGCTCTTCCCGGGTAAGGCAAATGGGTTGCCTGCCATTGGATGGCTGCTCACGGTAGCTGATGGCAGCCCACTGCAGCCCCACTGCAGCTTATGCAGTCCCCAGTGACTCAGGCAGCCCAGCTCCAGGTCGAGCTGTTGTTCACCATCTTAGCTGTAGAGGGCGCAGCAGTATCACTGGCCCATGTAGGATCCGAACTGGAGACCCTGCTGCTCAGAGCTCGTGCTCCCAAGCCAACTCTTAACCAATGAACCACTCAGCCAGCCCTATTTGTTTGTTTTAAAGTCTATTTTATATGGTATTAGTATAGCAACTTCAGCTGTCTTATGGTTGCTTTTTGCTTGGTGTATTTTTTTGCATCCTTTACCTTTCAACCATTTGTGCCTTTGAATCTAAAGCATATCTTGTAGAGAGTGTATGTTCAGGCTGTTTTCTTTAATCCACTCTCCAATATCTGCCTTCTGAATGGATGTTAAATACATTTGTCATTAATGTACTTACTGATAAGGTAGGAATTATATCAACTATTTCCTATTTATTTTCTACATGTCTTATGTCTTTTTTCTTCCTCTATTCCTCCGTTACTGTTTTCTTTTGTGTTAAAAAAAATTTTATAGACTACCATTTTAAATCTCTTGTTTCTTTGCTTTCATAAAATTTTTCTTTTTTTTCCCTAGTTGGCAGCCATGGAGATTCCAATTAACATCTTAATTTAAAGACTATATAATTAGAATATATACCAACTAATTACAATAGTATACAACAATTTTGCTACCATGTAGCTACATCCTCTTTTGGGGGGTAGTGTCAATTTAACTAAAGTTCTGCTACCTCTCTCCTTCTTTGTGATTTATTGTCAATCAAATTACACCTTTATATACTATAAGCCCTCCATCATGGTTTTATAATTATTGCTTTATTATGTTATTTTTTAA